TATATATATATATATACCACATTTTCTTTATCCATTCATCCATCAATGGACATTTGGGCTCTTTCCATACTTTGGCTATTGTTGATAGTGCTGCTATAAACATTGTGGTGCATGTGTTCCTTCGAAACAGCATACCTGTGTCCCTTGGATAAATACCTAATAGTGCAATTCCTGATTTGTAGGGTAGTTCTGTTTTTAGTTTTTTGAGGAACCTCCATACTGTTTTCCAGAGTGGCTGCACCAGCTTGCATTCCCAAGGAATATAATTTTTATATTGACAAAGGAGGATGCATTCTGGGTAGGAATTTAGTCTCCTGCCTTTAATAAAAAGGATGGTCTTTCCTTGCCCCACCAAGGACACACTAATGAAGGCATGCAGCCACTGAATATCTGCCACAGCCTCACACTGTTGTTCCTCAGTGAACTTTCATTGAAATCAGCACTCCCCAATCTCCTCCTAAAACCTCATAAAAACTGACTTTACCTGTGTCTCTTGACACTTGCCTGTGGACACTTGCCAGTTAAAATTCCACTGTTATTCCTAAATAAACTCAGTTTGCTAGTAAAATAACTGGCTGTTTATTTTTAAGCTGGAAAGTATTGCTCAATGTTTGCAGAAATGAAAATTTCACATTTTGCAGATAAAAGTCTCACAAAGACCAAGCACATTGGTCTGGCACAGCCACATGCTCTGTTTCATTGTATCCTTTCTCAGACTACTTAGAGCCTTCTTCTAAATATTTATGTGAGTTCCAAGGCTCACTTGTTAGAGTGTCCAACTTCAGCCCAGGTCATGGTTTTGCGATCCCTGAGTTCCACCACCACACTGCACTCACTGCTGTCAGGACAGAGCCTGCTTCAGATCCCCTGACCACCGCCTCCCCCCACCCCACCCCCCCACCCCCGGTTCTCTATCCCTCACCTGGCTGTATTCTCAAAAATAAATAAACATTTAAAAAAGAAAAGTTCTGTGAATTCTACTGTTTTTTGGTCTTTACTGATGTGTAGGAATATGGGATATGGGTTTGCCCTTAGGTATTTCTGTTACTGTCTTTATACCACTAGATAAACGTTATGAACTGCTTTTTGAAATGGGCATTTCACATCTGATTTTCTACGATAATTTCAGTTCCTACTGCCAGTACCTGCAGAAATGAGAATCATTTCCCAGCGAGGAGATGAGATCATTGGGTTCAGATTCTCCCTTTGCACACATGCTCCAAATGGAAATGGCAACAGTATTCGGTACCAAATATAGCATCAGTTAAGTTGCTCTCTGAGATTGATGTCAAACTCCTGTAAGGAATTGGGTATATCTGAGAATATGGAGTAAGAAATATATGGATAAAGGTTTTCCTCAATAGATGGGACACAATCACTATACAGGCAAGTGAAGGTTTGTGTGGAACCAGAGGCTGACCTCCTCATTGTCCACCTAACTCAGGGTGACTTGCCATTCATCTTCCTTCTTCCCTGTCACAGACATGCATGGAGTGTGACAAAGTAAACCACAGGCCCCAGATGGAGTCCCTTCTGCTAGGTCATGTCACCAAACCTGGGCATAATACCTAAACTCATTGTACTTTCAACCACCCCCAGAAATTTAGTTTCCACTGGCCACTGAGGAATTTTGTGGTCAGCACTAAAAAGGTAATCAGCTACATGGATGGGTCCTCTCCATCACCCAAAGGAAGATGAGATATTTCTCTAATAAGACCCATTTGTCCCCCAATTAAGATGACCTCAACTGACATAATCCTTTTTTTCTGTTTATGATGTTTTTGTCCTACCTTTAAAAAGCTTTTCCTAAAAACAAAAAAACAAAACAACACAAACCAATACCAAAAAACCTTTCCCTTTCTGTAGCCCTTTGGAGCTTCCCACTACTTGCTAGATGTGATGCTGCCCAATTCACGAATCAACGAATAAAGGCAAAAGACCGTTAAAATGTACTGGGCTGAATTTTTGTTGTTTAAAGAAACTTTTCTATTGTTCCTAACCAATTACAAAACTGACTCTAACGCTTCACGGTGCAAGTGTTTGAAGAGCAACAACTTTCCAGCTGTGTATACTCCTTTGATTTCTGAAGCGCTGGACACATTTGAATGATGTGTCCTTTACCTCAGGAAGAGGTCGTGGGAGCATATAAAATAATAATTTTCTCCTTTGGAAGCTGATTGAGCTTCATGGAGTGTGAAGTTAGGGCTCTTCTCTGTCTTTAACAATGTGCAAAGCAGTTCCCCGTGGGTAGGAACAGCACTTTCCACTAACCCTCGGGGTGCGGCGTGTCCAAAGCTCCAGGGTGCAAAACCTACTTCTGGTGGCAACTACTGCGCTGGGAGCTAAGGTACCCGGAAGGCACTGGACACAGAGGACAGAGCGAGGAGCCAACAAGGGTACAGGAAAGGGATTTCTAGGCGTGCGCAGCCGCTGGGGGCGGGACTTCCGGCCTCACCCCTCGGACGACTTCTGGCCTTTCCTCAGGTCGGCTCAACCTCTAAGGTTCCGGAGCGGACTTTCGGGGACGAGGTGACAAACTGACAAAGCGCGAGGGGAG